ATATATATATATATCTAGAGTTTCGGCTTTTGATTCATATGGAATAGATCCGCTGTCTCTTTTTCTTTTTCTTTCCATGACATTACTTCTATATAAGTTAAAAAAATTTGATAAATTTTTTTTAAAAAGGAAATTTTTTAGTAATTCTTTTAAAAGAATTTCAAAATTTGTTTCCAATTATACTCGTATACTTTAATTCGACAGCCAAAATTAGTCTCTATAAGAAGGATATTCCTCCTTATATAATCAACGTAGGTGTTTTGAAATTTATGCAATTGTATTTTGTGTGCAAGGATCTTTTCCATGTTTTAATTGCTATGTTAGAACTTCGAAGCACAAAAGCGAAAGAAATGTTTTAGTCAACGGTAAAGAAATAGAAAGCCATCGGGACGTAACAAAAATGATATCATTAATTTAAATATTTCTCTAATGGGACTTTTACCATTCTTTGTCATTTAATGCTACGCCCACATATTGTCAAAGAAAAACAACGAGCTTTTTTAAATAAAAAAAAATTAAAATTTTTATGTTCGAGTGCACTGATATTTTCAAAATAGAAACGATTTTTGAAAACATATAATTCCATTATTTGAACATTAAAAATTAACAGATATTATACGCAATTATGTCTATCTCTTATTTTTTTAATTTATATCTTTTTAACATGCACGCACATTAACAACATGCCATGAAATTAAAGTTAACAACTATTTATTATGCCATTCTTTTGTTCATAAAACATTATCTAATCGTACAGTAGTGGATCCAGTCAACGAAGGTAAAATTTTTCCTTGCCTTGTGCAATTAATGAAAAGCACGATGTAGACCCCATGATAAGAATAGATGATGTGATCCATTAATTAAATAAATTAAACAGGTTTAACTCTATATGCTTTTGTTAAGAATAAACTAATATGCGTGCTTTCGATGTAATTTCTGGGAAAAAAGTTGAGGACGTGATCACTTGAAATGGGTCAATTTCTGAATAATTAAGGTAGACCCCTACAGAGAGCACTTTAGGAGTGCCTGATAGTACAGTATCAATTTCTGTCGTACAAAAACTGTAGAATTTCAGCAAATCTAGCTAGCTCAATAAAAAAAAAAATTTGTTTGGCCAATGTTGGCACAAGAGTAGAGAAGTATAAACTTTAAATTTCTTCTTTGATTTTCCATTTTCTGACCTTTCCTAGAAAATTTCATGAACTAAACTAATCTGTACATTTATGCTTTTTCCCTTATAAAAATCCATATTTTTTTTTGTTTCGTGCTGTGGAAAACTTTCGTGGTGGCATCTCTTTCAAATGGTTGTCTTGGAATAAGTTGAACCTTTCAAGGATATTTAAAGGAGATGAAGTTGATGGGGTTGATTTTTCTTTTCAAAATAGCAAATGAAAATTCCATTATTTTCTTTTTTCAGTTGTTGATTGGAATGTACACACCTGTATTCCATAGTCGTAGACTCGTAGAGCTAAGAAAATCCAAATTAATCGTCTAACTTGACTATATATCTCAATATCTTAAGTGATTAATTAGTATCTTCATCTCCATTGAAAATGTTTTTGATTCTTCAAAACAAAGCACATAGCTAGCTAGATAATTGGTAGGCTTCCTAGTACATGCTTTCGATGATATAACCTCTAATCTTATATATGTTGTTCCCTCGAGCTTCCTATCCTATGAATTATATGCTTATGTCGTGTCATGTGTGTTTTTGAGGGTCAAGAAAAAGTGTATCGATGAATTTGCAACCATGACTGTAAAAAAGAAGAAGGTGGAAATAACATTTCCATGTGACATGATGTGAGAATAACTCTACTCTGTAGTTGGTCAAGTTTGTCAACTTGTAACACTTTATTACACAATTGTCTAAAAAATGAACACAAATCAATCAACACAGAACACACTTGCTTTGGGAGTGTCTTTCGAATTACAAGAGGTAGAAGTTGCTCCACCAAAACAAGTGAGTCATGACTTTTCAATCACCCAAGTTTACATTGACTGACATCAATGCATCTACTAATGTTACTTGAGTAGCCATCAGGAACAATAATCTTCTTCAATGTTTTGAGAAAGATATATTTATTTTCTTTTGTCAACGTATATATAGCAGGAAGATATTTACCATTCTGTTAAGGCCAAAGATCAAGTCTAATACCCCATTCTTGTAAGTCTTTTCGTTCACTTAAGTTGTCTTTTAATTTTCTTGAGTCATTCAATAATGTAAATATAACATTATCACATACATTTTTTTCAATATGCATGACATCAATATTGTGGTTCAACAAATTTTTTATCCAATATGGAAGCTCAAAAAATATACTCTTCTTTCGCCATTGCATATTGGTTACCTTAGCATGAGGTTCTCCTTGTTTTCTTTTTCCCCGCACCTCATCTTCTGGTTGTTTCCCAAATTCAACATTAAGATTCTCAACTTGTTGTAAGACATCTACACCTATAATTGCTAAAGGTGAATTTCTATTTTCGACATTTCCATCATATGGGCAAACGTTTATTTTGGAGTAATTAAGGCCAAGCTTAATAATGATCATTTTGGCCTCATAGAATGTATGTGGGATATTAGCATGCTCAAAGACATCTGCTAACAACTCTAGTATCATTGACATTGCTTTGTCACTTATTTTGCATAAACATTTGATGTGATACAACTTGATTAAGAATGGGAGTTTAGAATACTTATCACATCCATCATACAAGCTTTGTTGCCCATCTTTCATCAACTCGAAATACTCTACAATATCATCAGGCATCATTTGACTTGATTCTGGTATCATGTCCCTGTCATCCTCAATATTTTCGTTATAGAAAAAATGCCCAAATGCATCGTTAACCATGTCACATATAGGATCATTAGTAGGAACGCTATCTTAATTTTGTTGTGACATTAGAGGTGTTTCAACAATAATTTGTTCAAAACTTGTTTCTCCATGTAGAAGCCAAAATGTATACCCTTTTAGAAAAGGTTTAAGAATTAAGTGCTCAAGCACTACCTCCCGAGTTTTCCATTTGTTAAACTTGCATTTTGGACATGGGAAAATTATCTTACCATTAACGCACTTATTAGCAAAATCAAAATCCAAGAACTTATTAAGCCCAATAACTCTACTCTGTAGTTGGTCAAGTTTGTCAACTTGTAACACTTTATTACACAATTGTCTAAAAAATGAACACAAATCAATCAACACAGAACACACTTGCTTTGGGAGTGTCTTTCGAATTACAAGAGGTAGAAGTTGCTCCACCAAAACAAGTGAAAAATTTGATATACATGTATAAAATGATATGAACTTTCAATCCAACGGTTAGATTTATAAAATTCACATTTAATATAATAAGCGGTATAATACTTAATAAAAGTTATACATGTGTAATTATATAACCTCTCTATATATAAATATATTTTGTGAATGAAATTAAGACCAAGACGTTTAAATGCTTAAAAGAAATTGTAGTTAAGCTATTATTGTTATTGGAGATTTTGCGTAAGAATATAGAAAGAAAAGTAAACGAGTGATAAAAGATAGGACGTTGCTAAGATTTGCACTATCCATTCACAAACATTGTTGT